TTTAAAAAGCTGGACTTTGTTGTGCAGAGTATGAAGCTTTATTACTCACCCACATCGTAAGCGTCAACCCAAGCCATCTTGCAGACGTCGCACCCACCCGCTAACCTGACCTCCATGGATATTTTGCCAAGGAGGTTATGCCATGTCGTCCCCAACTCACAAATGGACAGAGAAGCTCGCAGACTGGAGCAGCAGTGGTCTGAGCATGGCGGCCTGGTGCCGTCAGAACGGTGCGGGCTACCATCAATTTCTTTACTGGCCCAGGTTCCGGCAGGTCTGCACCAGGGAGAGAATTGTTGCGCTGGCCCGTCCTCCATCTTCACTGCCGACAAACAGCCAGTTCTTGCGACCGATGGTCAGGGGGCGCACAGCGCGTTCGGCGACGTTATTGTCCAGTCGGGCCTCCGGGTGGTTCAGGTAGTTATCAAAATACGGTGCCAATCCCAGGGTGTAGTTCAGGGCCTGATGGAATTTCGATTTGGGCAACAACTTGCCGGTGACTAACCGATCTTTGATCATGCCTAGCAGTTGATCCAGGATTGGCTTTTCAAGCGTGCGTCGAATCCGCAGTCGTTCTTCCGGGGCACGACTCCAGGCCACCCGTTCCAAGAGAAACAGATAGCGGATTTTACGCAGGATCTGCCGCCGCAACTCAGGGTCACCGGTTTCGGCCTCGACGAACTTCCGCCGTACGTGGGCCATGCAGGGGCACCATAGAATACCCTCGCGTTTGGCCAGCTTTTCATAAGCACCGTATTTATCCGAATGCAGCAGGCCCTGATAATCTTTCAAGGTTTGCTCGGGATGCACATGACTGCGATTTTGGCGGAACTCGAAGAACCGGTAGGGGGGATCACCTCCGCCACCACCGACATAAATCCACATATAGGCCTGTTGGCAACGCCCCTTGCCTTTAACCTGAAGCCGAATCGGGCTTTCATCAACAAAAACAACCCCACTCCCCAGCACCCGTGCCTTCATCGCATCGTAGAGCGGCGAAAGCCCTGCACCCAGAGTCAAAACCCATTTGGAGAGGGTCTGACGGCTGATCCGAATCTGCGAGCGCTGCAGAATCTCCACCAGTCGGTAGAGCGGCAGATGATCCGCGAACTTGGCATTAAGCACATAGGCGAGCAGACTTTCCTCCGCCGGACAGCGATCAATGATGGCATCGGGCAGCGATGCGGTACGGATACCCAGGTCGGGATGCTTGCGCGAGGCGTATTTGGGTCGAACGTATTCGATGATGTAGAACTGCTCGGCTTTACGGGCCAGCTTGCGGCTGACCTCCTCACCGATGCACACCAGAGGCTCTCCCGTTTCCGGGCAGATCTTCTCTTCGGGGGTCACATCCAGCGCAATCCGTTGAACCGGAAGATCTTCGGGGAAGGTGATTGTATCGCTGCCGCGCTTTTTGGTTGGCTTGCGCCGCTGGTAACGGATATCTTCGATGACCTCTGGCGTCTGAGGTTCGACAGGCTGAGCGCCAAAGTCGAACGCAAGGGTCTGGTCATCCCCCACAATCCGTTCGCTTTTCGCGCCGAACAGTTGCCTCTTCAGCCACGCAAGCTGTTCGGCCAACAGGGCAACCTGGTTTTCCAGGGCGGCGATCTGCTGATCTTTTTTCTGTAGAAGATCTTGCCCGGTCACTCTGTTGTCGAGGTGATTTAACATGGCGAAAATATAGCACAAATTGGCTTTAACCGGAAGCATTAAAGCCTTGTTTATCCAAGGAAAATCGCCGACTTAAGCGCTTCGGAATCACCCCTTCCAGCAACAGCACAAACTGCTGCCGGGACAGCTCTGGCCGACCACTGAAACACCCCGAGAAGGTGCCCCGTTCCAGGCGTTTATACCAGATCGCAAAGCCGTCCCCCTCCCAATAGAGGATCTTGATCAGGTTGCGGCGGCGGTTGAGAAACAGAAAGAGGGATCCGGTTAAAAGTTTGCCGGGGAAAGCCGTATCGACCAGGGTACTCAGGCCCTCAAAGCTTTTGCGCATATCGACGGCCTGGTCATAAAGGTGAATCGGTTGGCAGGCGGAGGGGCGCACCGGTCACGCCTGCTTCAGGGCTATCAGGAGTTCCGACAGCAACCCACGATCAAAGCCGGGTTCGATGTGAATCAGCATGCCGTTGCATTCCAGGCGGAGGGACGGCTGGCTGACTCTCAGCGCAACAAACCGGCCAGAACCATCAGGACTCTGGATTTCCAGGCGTTTGCGCATCAACCCCCAGGAATATCTGGAGGATATCCTGCGTCGGATCATGGGGCATCCGGCCCAACGGATCGAGGAACTGCTGCCGGACCAGTGGTTGGCAGCTAAACAGAATGCTATCGGCTTACTGCCTGCGGTTCAAGGTGGGCTGGGTTGACGCTTACG